ACAAAATTATCTCTATTGTTATACAATTATTTTATTTTAGGTCATAATATATTGTATCTCACTATTTTTATAAATATACCGATATTGTGTGTTTGTATCTGACTAATAATAATTAGGTAGATATTATTTCTTACCTCACGTATATATATAACAATAATATTATATCTAATTGTTGAGCTGTAATAGTTAAACTGGAAGCTAATAAAAAAAAACTACTATACACATAAAGCAACTTTTCGTGTTTACCAATCACCACATGTCCACATATATGAGCACCCATTGGTGGGGGCGTGCAATATATAAGACACTTCTCCCCTAGAAAAATTATATGAACTTAAATTCAATAAATATTAGCATGATATTGGCAACGTAAAATACAATTTTTAACTTTTAGAATATTAAAATACTTGTGTATGACAAACGTTCATCGTGAAAAAGTCAACTTAAACAAAAGTATAGTTTCATTCAAGATTGAAGATGTCATTAATATTTTGGAATGAATCAAAGAAATTTGCAGTATTTTATTTACCGATACCGAATTGTACTTGTAGTAATATTTTTTCTATATTTTGAATAGTAGGTACCAACCTGTACTTATTAAAATGAGTTTAACCATAAAAATATTAATTTTATAAATAATAGCATATTTATATTTATATGTTGAAGTTACATTAAACCTTTATTTAGCTTAAACTTGAGAAATTTGTTATTTGTCCCCCTCTTGAAAAAGTTGCGTATGGGTGCCCGTGATCCAAAACCACAGAGACGTTTAAGAAAGTACCATCAGGATTCAGGATGATCAGCCCAAAAAATGTTACAATCATGAAAATTATGTATAACATCGGGTGATTAGTGAATTACTCAAATAATAATATATGTTCATCATAATATGAATGGTATTTACTATTTATAGCGTTGTACGACTGTATACTATATATTATGTTATACGTATAGTACCTACTGTGATTTTATGTCTAAATCTATAATTTGTAAAAGCTTTCTTCCTTATTATCACTATATATGTTTATTCTTATACAATAATATACATATAACGGTATCACATATGTGAGCTGCTAGTTTACTCCCCCCTTTTAAAAATTAAAAAAATTTTCATGTATACCATGCTATCTGCCCATCTATTACTACCTTATGTACCAGTCACCCACAACTTTTCCTTTTCCATTTTTTTTCTAATGAGCACCAATATAAACCCATATATAAGTGTATATATTTATCTGATATTATAGCCACTCACCAGATTATATTTGCTTTTTAACTGATTTGGACATTATAGTAACCAATATTAATTTATAAATTATATAGTTATATTGTACATTGCACAATTAGGTACTGAAATATGTAGTAATATAGTATAAGTGTTCGACTACATAAATATTAAATAATATATATAAACATATTATCTACGGTCTACGAACCCTAGTATAGGATAAATGATAATGTTTAATTACTTAATTACTCGTTATCCTTTTTATTTTGATACATAAACATTTGAAAAAAATCATCTGCCGAATAGTTTAAATAGGTTAGGTTAGGTTAGGTAACATAGGTAATATTATGATATACGCGTAAAATAATATTGTACGTTATTAAATATGTATTGCCACGTGTATTGCATTACGTATAATTTATTATGAAAATGTTTTGATACATTTTTATAAGAAAYCATAGTCGATAGTGTAATTGCCAAATGGATGGAATAAAAAAATCATGAAGAGCGATTTTAATAAATAATATTACTTATCATAATTGCAATCAAATGTATAACCGTACACGCATCCACTCATAACGATCGAACCGCGGAATTATTTCAGTTTACAATTTTACAGTTTAATAAACAATACTCAAAGTTCACATTCAATGTACCCAAGTGCACATAAATATAGGTATACTAAGATAACATTTTATATGAGAATTTATGAAATATAATTTTATTTTTAATAAAAAAAAAAAAAATAATAATAAACATGTAATTGATTATCGATTCAATATATTATAATAATCTATTATATTCAGATATTCTACGCAGTGAAATTCCATTTAAAGAAAATAAATATAATATACATACGTGAACGCGGTGTTAATAAACGTTCTTACTTGAGTATAATAAATTAATAATACATTAGACAACACTGCGACAAAAGTGYACGAATCGAAAATATTTTAGAAAATTACCTAGTCGAAATGTACTTAAAGTTACTCTGATTTAACTGTTAATGGGAATAATATAATATACGCCCCGCTTATGCAAGAATATTACACTATTACCTATTGTACTATACGTATATAAAATATTATACATCGGTGGTTATCAGGACGGGCGTGTTCATGTACATTTCAACCATAGTATAGAGCAGATCTGTGCGAATTTACGTGCAAAACATTATATAGGTCATTATAATTTATACTTTTATTAAAGCCAGTAAATTTCATCTATAAATTGATTTATGCACATTTATATATCGTTTACACGCCATCATTATATCAGTGTACCTATTATGAATACTTCAATTATAGATAGAAACGCAGTCGATTATTTTTGCCTGACTCGATTACAACGTCATAATATAGTTTGTATTGTGTTAAAATGTTAAAATTTATATTTCAATCACGCGAGTGGGAAACCTCAGTGTTTTGTTATTTTTGATTTTAAATAATATTACCTATAACGCCAATAACATAATATTCTCGCATGCAATAGTAAAATATATAAAGTGACGTTAAAMATTATTTGAAGATCTACTAATGCGAAGTATCTATAATGGTATAGGTATGCTATTACAACTACTGTTAATCACAATAACAATAATTCATAACTATATAATATAGAATCAAACTATTATGTACATTTATTATCTCATCTAACAATTAGTTATCAAGATTCAAGAGCTTAACACAATAAACAATTATAAATTCCTATAGAGGTACTATTATTTATRTAAAATATATATTGGTACATTCAACTAATATAGCTTTTGAATACAATTATAATTGACATTGAATTTGAAAAGTGATGAACTTTTAGAATRAATTAGGTCATCTAAATAAGGGAATCCGCCGACTATATCGAATGTATAAAGTATTTAGTTTAACGATTTCTATATGAATCAGCGAATTCGGTTTWGGATCCAAATCTGATAAAATACATGTATTTATCTGCAGATGACCAGCACGTAGATTATATTTTATTGCAAATATAATAATAATATATTATAATGTTATGCATGGTTAGTATTAAAGTTTTTTTTCTAATTCTAATTATGAATATTGAAATTATATTGTAAAAATATATTTTTCAATAATATGTATACACTATACACTATGTACCTAGGTACATATAATATTTTCATAATAGCATTATATTATATAGGTAAATATAAGTTTCATTAGAACCTATAAACAATATATTATACATACATATTACAGAATGTTTTACCAAGTATGCTCACCCTTCATTTTTACTTTTATTAAAACGCAATTATTTATTTATTTATCCAAGTCCTAAGTTTTTAAAAATATATCGTTAATGGAAAAAAAAAATTACGATTAGAAAAGTCCGGTGAACCACCTTGTATATTAAAATGTATTAAGGGATATTGGATATTTGCAACTAACATTTGACTTATCTCGGTTTTGACCTCAAGACCTTTTTGCGCTGGTTTTTATCTAAAGTGAACTTGGAAAATGAGTGATTAACCTATTATATTTTTATAATATTTACCTACCTCGTTATGTTATCATAGATCACTCTCGATCAAATTTGGTTTATATTTGAATTTAGCAGAAGTGATTTCACTGGGCGTCCCAGTGACATATCCCGTTTCATCATGTCATCCACTTTTTTTCAAATCCCACATCAAATTTATTTATCGTTTTTCATTGTATAGTAAGTATCCGTATTATCGTGCTTATTTTTTTWATTTAATTATTTTTAATACAATATTTGATAATAATTTGTGTTGATATGATGTTAAAAAAATATATCCGCACTGTGGCCTCATTGTTAACATTGCACGTGTATAATACATTTTAAAGATCAATAATAATAATATTTAGATAACCAATTCGGTAAGAAATATTCTTAAAATCTCTCTAATATTCTAATGGATGCTATCAGCTGGTACTTCAACCCGATAATATACGAGCGCGATAATTATATTCAGTACCTAAAGGTTGTTAACCCGACCATTATTAATTTATATATAGAGCCTACAAACTTTGGTTTTTAACAATAAAAAATATAGATCTGTCTCCAGTTATTAGGTAAACGCAATATTATGGTTAAAATAATCATTTGAACGYGTAAAATAATAACACTTATATAGCTGCGGAATTATCTAAAAACAACAACCGTATCACGAATAGGTAATATTTAATAATTTCAAACGCTATATACATAATATACTAATTGTATATAAAATAGCCGTAATAATGCATATACTATACACAAACACACACACACGTATGTCGTATATATATATATATATACTTATATAGGTACAAGTATATGTGATATTATAGTTCGTCCGCTGTGTAGTTCATGAATCATGAGCGGCTAAATTCGTTTGCGGCCAATAATTTACGCAAGTAGGATTGATAAGGCCCGTGCCAATTATTATACTCATAATATAATATTATTATATAGGTACCTACATTTATTATTTACGGCAAAGAAACTATTTAAAAAACGAGCTTCACTTCCGAAAAAAAATCTATAAATTATCAAGAAAAATGTTATCAATTACGTCATTAAAATATGCACGTTGCACGTGCCCGACCTTTATTGCACTCCGTATAGTAATTAGATGTTACATAGTTATCACACTGTGCGTTAGGTACCTACGCYTTATCTACCAAAATATTCTATGCGCTTATTTATTATATTAGCGCATATCTGCCGATTAGGAAAAAAAAAATAAGAAAGAAAGAAAAAAAAAATAGCGAATTGAGTCACTGTTATGAAACGCTTCTAATACATACATTCGTGGATTATCGTGTACAAAGAGTGTTAATACTGTGTATATTATTATAGTAGTCTACACTTAGAACGTATTCGTTACAATGTTATTTCAATGGCAACTTGAAATGGTGAATTAACTAAGAAACTCGATTGAACATTTAGTAAGTAACTATATAATATTATTTAAATATTATACGATTATCGACGGGTGATATATATATCGAAAATCATTGCCATGAGAAATTTTTTTTTCGTTTATTACCTATCAGATATTAGGTAATTAAGCGACAGGTYCGCCAAAAATTATATCAGTCATTAACGTGACAGGGTCATTATTATCACCTCACTGCGGTGCTCATGACGGGTGGTTACATAAGCGGATCTGTTTATTCACAGAGAAGGGGTATACCCCTTCTCTTATGATTAACAAAATGACGACAGCCAACAGTCGTTAACGCTTTCCAAAAACAATAAATCCATAATGTTTGATAAAAAAAACAAATTATTTTACATTTTTCGAACATAAAAGGTTATAATTTTCATTAGCATCACATCATAATTTCATAACTTTATAGACAATTATCATATAATTTTTAATTTTCATAGTTATATCCATCAAATCATTATTGTATAGATAAAACATTAAATCACATACATTTGAATTATTTAAACATTGTGTTATATAAATATATAATGTTTTATTTTATTTACTATTACTTATAATAAATAGGTACAAACAAATAAATTATAACTATTTAAAAAAAATTAAAATAGATTTTTTTTTATTTTAACTATTCTAAAATAATTCAATAATTTGGTGATTTAAAAATAATTTATAGAAATCAGTTAATAAATCTATTAAATAATCTATTAATTAAAATAAAAATAATATTTGAAGCTGATGAATAGGTAGGATACCCAGCTGCCTTTATACCACTTAATTAAAATACACATTTCTTAATTTTATCGGTAATAGTTATAAAATTATAATATTCCATTTTCAAATAGAAAAAGYGAGTGGGTGGGTAACGATCTGCTGTACTTTATAGAAGTCTAGAGAATCGTTGTAATGGACGTGTTCAGTTATGTACGCATAAAAATGTTTTGGAGGGTGTTTTAAAAAATCAGTTATTGAAAAGTAGAACATTTTTATTTTGCTTTAACCGGTTTTTCATAAACACAATTTAATATTATATCTGTATATTGAAGTATAATATAATGAAAATTGAAAATGTCTATTAATAACTCAATATTACTCAAAATTTTTTGAAAATATTACGATGTATAAAAAATAATAAAATAAACATTTGAAGAAAGTTTCAAATGACCACGGTTATTTTTAGCTTGTAAATTACAGCAAATTAGCAAAATAAGAAAATTGTTGTATGAGAATTTTTTTATTTATGTGTGAATATCCAATAACTAAMTTCAAACGCCCGTGAAAAATTAATTTGACTTTCCGGTAAAATTTTTTTAGTTTAATATAGGAAAACTTAATGATAATCTTGTATTACATTTTCAAAACATAGTTATAGATAGAAAAATATTTTTGAATTCCTAAAATCCTAACTCGAAATAATTTGACAAATTTTATGTTTTGTAAAAATTTTGATTTCAAACAATCGTAAAATATATTGTGGACTTTTGTACAATTTTTATTATAATTTCCAATAACAATAACTTATGAGGAACGTCGTATTACATTTTTAAGTTTTTATATCGAACAAAAAATTTTATACACAATATTTAAAAAAAAACTGATAAAATTCAAAATTTTATGGTGTTAGAAATCGCTAATATATAATATTCAGTGAAAATGTTRTGTATTTATGGATTTTTATTTAAATTTACGTYAAAAAAGTAAAATTGATTTTTCSGAAAACTGATTTTCCATAAAAATCTCAGTTTCCTTACTTTTTTGTTTATTTTTTCTGACACTCTTGAAAACTCTGGAAAAGTTTCGCTAGATTCACTTTTCTACCAGAAAAGATGCTGTTGAAGAAAATTGAAGCGTTTTATTAACCTAACACTAGGTGGTAAAAATACATATTATAAAATCTATTCATCTATCGCTTCTCTCAGAACTAAAAATATTTGAAGACTACCTATATATRATTTTTAAAAACGGCTTAATATATAATTTGACGACTTTCAGATTCTGAGTGAAGTGAATGAAATATATGTACTGGTTTTACATTGATATAATTAATATTATATTAATAATTATRTTTTGCTAWAATTATATCAAAATCATAAAATAATAGGTACTCAAAATTGATAGTGCCATCCAGTATCGTAGTTATGGGTGAGGGAATGATTGGGATAGATCACCTCAGAGCCTTTTTTTTAAATTTTTAACGCATTGACTTGTACTTGGAATAAGAATATTTGATTATAAATTTACCCATATTATGTTATAAATTATATATCCCCTCCTCCAGAACAACATCATAACTATGCCATTGGTGTCATCATTGGATTGCTTCTTCCATCATACTTGACATATTATATTTTACTATTGTCAAATTTTCTTATTATTGTTATTTTTTTTTTTTGAGCAGATTGTAAATTTCTTTTAAATAATAATAATAAAAAGAAATGAAGAAATCATGAAATAATCGTTACCTTTGATAACTGTATAAATGTCATTACTTTTCTTTAAAAAAAATAGTTTAAGTTAGTATTTTGATTTCTTGTTTTAGCGTATTATAAATAAACATTTAAATATCGAAAACTACAATAAATTATTGATGTACATTTGTTAGTTCAATACAAAATTTTGCATTTTAATTACTACATTTTAAAATCTGATTCTTTGATTTATTACTATATACTTAAACCATATAGGTACCTATAGGCTATATTAATTATATTTACCTATATAATTATATATTTTGTAAGGCCATTAACCTTGAGTACTTGTGGTACCTTAGTGGAAATAGTTAATTAATATATAATTTATTTTGAGATTATCATACAGAATGAGCTCGCTAAATTTTTAAGTTCATTGTAAAGTCGTATTAATTATAATTTACACTTATAATATTGAAATATAGTCTACTGTTTAAAAAAAATTATCAACTGGCCCAACCACAGTGGGAAATGGTGTAATATACCTCTGAGCAACCTACACGATACTTACATATAATTCAAATGAATTATGGCCAAACCGAACGAACCGAGACGACACTGTCCAATACTGAAACCACTGTTCCAGTATACTTTTTAATTTATTTAATAATGGATTTGCAACGCATTTTGATACTCCTATATTATAACGGACTCGGTTACTTTTTCGATTTTCTGAAATAAAAATAAAAACGAAAAATGATGGTTTTAAATTCAATAGTTAAAATAACACGTAAAACGATTTAATTGTGTACATAAAATTTTTGATTTTTTTCAATATTAGATAATACTAAGTGTTATCACCTTGTTACTTTTAAAATGACTGCCTGTTAGATTTKTTAGAACAATTAAATTTATATTTTCCTGATTTTGGGGTTCATAATAAATTGCTTTTTAAACATTAAAATTCCGTTAAAAATAAGTTGTAAGGATTTATTTTTTTAAATGCTCCAAACATTTTAGAAATTTATTTTATAAAACTGGTTTTCGTTAGTTATATTTTTTCCTACTCAAAACGCTATAACTAAATAAAATAAATGGTAATTAATTATAAACCATACAATCAATTTTTAGTGGTTGTCACTATATGTTGTTATCAGTTACCACCAAAGAGTTAACCATATATTCGTTTATAAACATTGCTTTAAATAGTTACATAACTGTTACTATAATGGAGCAAAATCATTATATTCATTTATATAACTATAAATTATTTTTTTTTTTATACTTATGATTCCATTCCAAATACTTCGATAATAGTTTTTGTTTTTTTCTATTTTACACCTACCAATAAAATGATAAAAGGTATTTTTACATCAATTTACAGCTATATTTTAATATTTTTACCCCTAAACTATCGGTTAATTTAACACGTATTTTTTAACATAAATTCTTCTTCATATATATATAATTTTAATATTATACCAATACGAATATACAATAGGTACACAAATTTAAAAAATATGATATAATGCTTAACGTTATTTATTAATTATGTTTTAATTTTTTTTAATTCTATTTCTTTTTGGGATAAGAAAATAAGTACGTTCTTAAAACTTATTTTCAATCTGGTCATTTTAACGAAATTGTAATATWTTTTTTTCATGTATACTATATAGACAATATTACAACCATGACCCATCTAAATTACCATCTGCATTGCTTCTTACTTCCTAATCGATATTAAGGCTTTCGGAGTACTTAATTTTACTACCTCAACCCTCAAAACGTTTTTGTGGACAAAAAAAAAAACACCAATTGTTAAACCAATTTAAGTTCCCTCACAAACACATAGRACACAAAAACTTATTATAAAATAAAAATAATAAAAATACTTGATATGTATTTTGGAGCATTTGCTTCAGTATCACCAGAAAATATTTTACAAATGTGGTTACTACTACTATCTGGTCATTTTTTGAGAGGAAACTATTATATTTAATAATCTAGCACTAAACCAACATTATATATGAAAACTCAACATGTTTAGTTTGTCCAAAATAATCAAATATAAATAACTTCCCTTTTAAGTTAAATAGCTATGGTCTGAAGTATGAAAAAAAAWATATTATCCACATTATAGATACTTATAGATATGTACTACTGAGTTTCAATAAATGCAGAAACAATATAATAGTAACRAACTAATGAATATAATTATTAATTAATGAATATCTCAAAGGCGTCCGCAATGGGGCAAGTTAGGGGGTTCCCTTCTTCTGTTTTTTTTTTAATCAATTATCATAATCATGAAGTAATATAAAATATCACACTTTTCATATCAGTTTTAATTAAAATTAAATAATAAATAAATTTTACTTATCGTAGTAAAAAAAAAATCGAAAATCGTTAGACACAATTTTTGTATATAAGTATTTAAAGTTGAAATGTTWACGAAATATGTCAAAATCACAAAAATTTGAATGGAATTATGGAGTTGAACATTCATAAAATTGTTGTGATTTATACTTAAGGTTAAAAATCCAACACAAAATTCTCCATAACTTTTCCTTCAAATAACTCTAAAAAAAAA